TTTTCATGTGCACCGTTTATTTTTGCTTCATTTTGCCTGCTGACGTGGATTACAAACACTTCCCGATAAAACTTGTCCCCAACTCATCAACAATTGAAAATTGTTGATTGTATATGATTACCACAGTCTTGTATGGCCAGATAACACGTTGCATGATATATAACATGAGCACATCTTAAAAAAAATAGTTTTGAAATCATGTATAGCTTATGGACCTTTTTCCCAACTTCACCAAGAAAACAACAAATAAGACAAAAATCTTGCAGTAATATACTATTAATAGAGTGCAAAAATGCAGTCTGCGGAACAAGCGTTGAAGAAACGTCACTGATCACACGTTAGTCTTCTAAGGCAGCGTCGTTGACGAGTATGAGTTTAATGTTCATCTTCCCTGTGCGCTACTGCCAACGCAGCATCGCCAAACAATGTACAACAACTATAATCTTCGGGTGCCATTATTTGAGCTTAAACACAAGAGTGCATTGGTGAGTCGAGCAGATAGTCCACACACAAGCGTTGGTACATCATCTTCAACAAGTGGTGAGCCCTCACAGCTGCACGAGACAAGTATGCGTATCTATTTCAGCAGTGAAATAATGAGCTTAATTGTAAAGGCGAACAAAGCAGCAACACTTACTTAATCCATAATTTATATTTGCAGTTGTGTTATCATCATACAAGCACAGACGAAATGTTTTCGTTCATACATTTTTATCTAATATGCATTGCGCTTTTATTTATAACCAGGTGAATCAAATGTATCCTTAATTAGGTGGTTTATGAATATTTAAAATTGAAACTTTATTTATTCTTTATATTTCGAATTAAAGCTTTCGTGACTGCAGGGATTCATATTATTGGTTCTTTCGGTAAAGTCACGTAGAAGGGAAATAATAAAATAATAAAAATTCTAAAAATAAAACAATAAAATTCTCACATTTTATTATTTCCCTTCTACGTGACTTTATCGAAAGAAGCAAGAATATTATTCTTTATAGTACTTAGAATACCAATTTTTGAGATGACAGCACTTTAAAACATATGCCAAATAATCCCTCTGAAGGGTACAGTCAAATGTGCTAATTCATTCCAATGGGTGTCTTTTGTAGTCATTGGTAGACATGATCACTCATTAGATAAACTACATTTTATTATGGGTGAAATGCCTAGGATGTCATCTTCAAAAATTCTGATAAAGCACTAACCAGGGCAAAACGATCACACTGAGAGCCACCGAGCTACCTTCCTACTCGATGGCATTGCCAAAGCTCTCTATTATTGTATTTGTTTTATCCTTTTCTGGCAAGCACACACATAGAGTATACGAGTGATATTCCACAAGAGCACTCAATTCAAAAGAAGCATAGTATAACTGTTAAAACCATGAGCTGGAGTTAAGTGGCGGTGCAGTAATGACCTGAATTCCATTCCTGACCATGACGATAATCGGTGGCGGCTGGTATCTGAACTAGTCCCCCTTCACCAACCAGCAATGACCAGCGCGGTGAAGTATGGCCATGCACCCCCATGGACGGTATAGGAGGCCTACATACTGAAATGGAATGACAATTTGCTAAAAAATCACGTACTATTATACCATAACCTTGCTACATCGTAGGAGCTTGAGAGATGGCAACAGCTTGGGGAGTCGTTCATCCAGTAGTGAATTTGAGATTATGATGATGATGATACCATAACCTAGTTCTACAAATATATAATTTATGCTCGGGCTGCATATGTATTCACAAATGTATTATTAGGTGTGTTTTAATCGGGTCGGATAAACATACCCTTGCCTGAAAGCGCACTTTCTTGTGGCATGTTATAACACATGACACCAATGCCTGTTAATGTCAGAAATGCAGACACACTCCCAACGGTGAAGGCTCACGTAAGCGTGGCATGTTTGGTCTGATATATTTAAGTCTTGTGCGCTGCTCGGCCCACCACCACAGTATTGTCATGTCTGGTTATAGCAGTTTTTTATGACAGTATTTTGACGGCTGCCTTGGGCATTCTAAATCACATTGACAATAAAATGTTATAGATTAAAATGTTTTAGGCTATTATGTTTTTACTGTGGTGTGTATAGGCATGTGCAAGTATTACAATAAGGCACTGATGTAGGACACTTTTCAAAGACGTAAGTGCGTATGTGTAGCGTGTAGCTGGCAGCATTTTAACTTTTAAGAATATAGCATGAGAAAAAATGCGATTTCTTAGAATGTACTGTAGTGCTTTGTACCTCGCGTGTGCAGTTGATGTCATAAGTATAGTCAGGACTTAATTTATTCACTAAACATATTCAAGGTGCTTTCAGACGAGCAGCCACGAGTTTAATGTATGTCACCTTATGCATTTGTGGGCGACACATTCAACCACAAAAAAGACCAATGCGATTACAACCAACGTCGTTGAAATTATAATTACGCCGGAAATCAAATACAGGTAATACTCTTCCAAGTACAGATTTAATTATAAAACAGTATCCAAGATTTATATAACTGGTTCTAGTGGTCAGAGATCGCTGACTCTCTGTTGTCACCAACCTCAATTGAGCATTACTGCACTGTAAGATTACTAAACACCTCTTATTCTCTCTGACTACTACACTCATTGGCTTGCTATAAACTTTTCATGAACAACCTATGACCTATAGATTAAGTAGGATAGTAATGTCGGTCAAAATATTTTTTTAAAACTAACATGAATTCTTGTTTGCCCGTTCCAAGAACCATCACACAATGTCACCGGGATGAATGTGAATGGAGCTCTTCTTGGAATGTTTTTAATCACAGCCGGGCCAGTGGATGATGGACTCGAGCATTGGAAAGCTGAAGGGGGGCTACGCCTCCCTTCTTAATTCTTATCGTCAGAACAAATACAATTTCGGGACAATATTTAACATCCACAATATTTGTATGAAGCTGGATAAAATGATAAATTTAGTCACATTTAGTTGTGGGCATCAAAGCCTTTCATCGTATGCAAAGGCGGTGAGGGCGAGAGCGGAATGCATAATCGAGAAAAAATCACACCATATCACTCATTCTGTTTAGCATTTAACATTAAACCTCATGAAAGGGACCCCGGGGTCCCCTCTCGCATAAACATTATATTATATTATGTTTTATTTTTATTATTTTATTACTTCCCTTCTACGTGACTTTACCGAAAGAACCAAGAAGATTATATTAGAATGTAAACAAGAACTTTGCTCTTTTTCACCAATGGGTTTGAAGGATGGTGGCAAGTGTTATCTTGTTAAACTATGCCTTTAAAACTGAAAACTACTTACTTGCAGTACCTCTATTTAAAAACACTATCGAAAAAATAATTTACACCCTCTGTCAATCATCGTGTTTCTCAGTGTCGATTTGTGAACACACTTTGTAAACAGTACATAAAATAGTACGCGTTTTCAATGCGCTGTTCATATTGTAACAAGCGTTTATACCAATGTCACTCTACAGAGTAGTGTGGGTCGCCGCTCCTCTTATCTGCATTGATACGAGCGGTATGTGGGGACTATGGCTTAACCGCAAAAAAAAACTATCTGTACAGATGCATATCTGCAGGTAATTGGATTGTTATCGATTGATCCTGGCTGTAGACATTGGTAGGTTACAAATAGTAATGAAGATAAGAGAGCAGTTTGACTGTAAAGCTGCAGTTTGAGCAGCTTTGGATAAGACTTATGATCCTGCCCGTACCCGAGCATGGAGTGCAGCGTTCGCTTGTTCAGCTCTTCTGCGCATTCGTCCTCGCTGCTGCTGCGCTTGGACACGACGTGACAACAGAATGATCCGCGCCAGGTGGGTCGCGGTGTTTATGTGCGCGGTGGGACGGAGTCGCCAAAATAAATTTACTAATTACAATTTTGACTTCCGTTTATGCGGGACCCCGAGGTCCCGTCATAACGTTCATTTGTTAAAAAATTGTTTAACAAATGTGTAATGTTCCCCCTGAGTTTGTGAATGCCCGCCCGTTTTAACAAGGTCGTGGTACGGAATTATGGTTGACCCCAAGCATTGGTCTGCAGCATCATTGACTATAGCAGTGCGAGCAAGCACCAGCCAGCAGCGTGCACCAGGAGTTCATAAAGTTCTAGCAGCAGCAGAAGCAGCGACGTTGACCACCAGTACTAGCACTGACCACTAGCAGCAGCAACAACGCGTAGTACTAATCACACAGTTATCTCACCACGTAAGGGTTTGTGCTCAGGCTTGTCTCGAGGACAAGCAACAGCAGGAGCAGCATAATCATGGCAGCACAGTTATTACATTGCTACAGAATCTTGCTTTGGTAAAGCGCAGTGACGTAGTTATCGAGTTGTGCAGTCAGTGCAACTGCACTGGAGCTCACAGGCCGTAGTGACACATGCACCAGGCTTTGAAGAGGGGGGGGGGTATTGGACCGGGGGCCTCTTTTTTGTTATTCCTTTCACCAGGGCCCATGCCGAGCATGATACTTCACTGTGGAAAAGCACATTCTCCCGCTTGCTTTTTTCCATCCTTATACATTATATCAGATAACCACGCTCATCTCACAAGTTCATCAATTATCAAGGAAAAACTGAGGTTCTCAGTACTTATATTCTGGGTAGTGCCCTCTTGGTCACGTCGCTCTCCACAAACGGTGATTTCACCTAGGCTGCTGAAGGAGGCACTGGCTCCCGGCTTTCATCCTCTGCCTAGGTGCGAGTGCTGTTTCCCTCTGTCCTCGCTCATCCTCGTGTGTAAATCACCAGACTCTTTGGAGCTGGCTCACCCATGGGCAGCTATCCCCATGCGCTCTGTCTGGGTGGCAAACTCGAGCACATCAATGTTCCCATTGGATACCATGGGGGTGCTTTATTTGGCAAACCCACTTCCTGTTGTTGAGTCAGCAAATTCAGATGTTCTCTACGGCAACAGTGTTACCTTAGTGGCAGGATTGCGCTCTGGCCATTGGATGCCCTTCCAGCTAGCTTAGGAGTTGCCAACTCTGAATTATTGTTGTTACCTGTTCGAAAAATACACGTCTGAAACAGATCCAAACACATCAGTTAGAAACACATGGGAGAGTTCTGACCTGTGAGACTGCATTCTTGTGAATGGCCTCCTTAAACCTTATATGTTCAACGACAGAATCACACGTTCAACCTAAGGATGACCCTGAAGCAAAGCCTGATAGTCCAAACCCCTTAATTGTTATTGTTTCCCTGTTGGAAACACATGACAAAACCCAGACCAAATAAATAATGGCCAGATATAAAATAGCCTATCCACACAGAGCGTAAGTTAACACTCCCTATCAGCTGTTATCAAGAGCCAGAATCTTGTTCAATGCCGATTTGCAACCAGGCCATCTGTGTGCCCGAGCCGTTGAATGATGTATTCACTTTTGACCACGTACCTTAAAGTGGGTCTAGTTGATCCGATTTTCTGTGGGTGTAATAAACATACTACGTGACGTCTGCTTTACAGTGAACATTAAAGATTCCCTGACATTATTCGCAAGAGTAGGCCATTGTATGCCTGCACCAGGGACCAAATTTATGCAATTTTTTAATGATGGATAGCAATAGTTATCCTCTCCTGGCAGAATAAAGCCCCAGGTCACTCTTGCAAATGACACGTATCATGGTTTCTTGATTTATCTTCTGGTTTAACTAAATAAACTTGACACAATATATATAAATATATTGATAATTACTCAGGCCAGGTGGCTCAGCGGTAGAAAATACCACTCACAATCGGAAGGTTGAAAGTTCAAATCCTGGTTGAGAGTTGATTCGGCCCATCATCCCTCTGTGGTCATTAAAATAGGTACCACGTTGTGAGGGAAGTTAACAGTGGTTGTTCTATGGAGAGATTCGCCCCTGCTATTGGAGTGAGGAATTGTCACCACAGGTTCAGGGCTGTAAACAGGATATAATATCTGCCTCAGTGCTCATTTGAGCAGTAACTCACTTTTACTGTAACAGTATTCATAATTAACTTAATATTTTAAGACCTATATTTATAACATGTCAACCCCAGTCTTTTGCGTATGCAATTTTCTCAAATGGTGTTTCTCTTCAATTTCCCCTAAACTCTCGCTCTGCCCTTTCACCTGTCCCTTTATGCGAATGCCGTGTCAACCTCTGATTTTTAGGCTCTGTGTGGGCAACCTCCTGGCTCTTATTTGCATGCATTGGGCTTTGGATGTTTGCTAAGCCCTCCATGCAACACAAACAAGATGATGGCTTGACATCTTAAGTTGAATTAGGTGGGCGGAGGGAAGTAAAATTGCGTGTTCGTGATTGACATAGACATGCCCATTGAACCTTGATGGCGATTAGTTCCCCTTGGATATGTATGCTTTGACCAAGGGTGAGAACAACATCTGTTGATGTGATATTTGTCCTGCGTTCTTTTTTATTTAAACACTGGCACATTTATTCATAAGATATGCAACTCGTGAACATGGTCACATGTGTCTACAAGTGTTACCCTTCCCTCTGACAACATGATTGTATTGTTTTGTTACATTTTACGAGCAATCGTTTCTGATATTTATACAGAGAGACTTGTTGCAACGCAGGAGCATGAGAGGTGGTAGCAACTTCGGGAGGACATCATCCAGCAGTAGATAACTCATGGCTGAATATGTTAATGCTATAGACTGGGGGTGGAGTGATGAGGCAAGTTGTTGGTGCACTCTACCATGAACCTGGTGACCTTCGTTCGACTCTTTCTCTCCCTTACCCTCACCACTGTCCCACTCCCCCTCCCTTCAGCACCCCTATACTAACCCAGCATGGGGAAGTATGGTCAAACAACCACCATGGCTAATAGCTTTGGCAGGCCTTCATCAAGCAGTGGGTTGACAAATATATGATATGTAGTACAGCATATGAGAGAAAAATACAGTGTTGGAAACATACACTTAAATTTACACAAGATTGAATGGTATGTGAAGTGAGTTTTCTCCACACTAGCCCCGAAGATTGTGGAGAATATCGTCACAAAGATAGATAGATATGACGTTCAAATGATCTTAATACAGTAGTTTATCATTTCCTCTGGAGCGAAGAGAGAGGAAATCTAAACTCAAGCTCCTACCAGAGCCACAGCGCCTTCACACATGATTGCATGCTGAACTTGTTAATCACAGCAGAGGAACATTTAAAATTCCTCGGATAACTCAAAGGTCAAGTGGTCAACCTCTAACCCATAATGTCTAGCACTGTTGGATTTTTCAAAGTTTTTTGTTCATGATGAGCACATCTGTGTTCAACCGATTTGTCTGCTGTAATACTATATGGCAGTGCAAGCTTAGGTCCCTCTTTCTTCTGTCACCTTTCATTAACTCTTTAGACTCTCCCGTGGGCCTATGCGGTAAAACCGTATTCCTTTTACAACTGACCAAATTACAAAGCATCGGAAGAAGTCAATTCAAGTCTACATGCTGCTCATTTTGTTGAGAGCTCATGAAAAACGTGTTGCCAATGTGGATAACCGTTTGTATGAATATGCCAAATATTCATTCAAACGCTAAAATAGGGGCAATTAAACGAATTATTTGCTGCATTGGGAGTGGTGCACAAGCACAATTCACACGTAAATAACGCAACACATTCGTCGATAATACTTCCATCAAATAAAAATATATAATAGACGACATTTCGGAAGAAGGGCCAATGCCCAAAAATGTCACTCACAAAAAGGAGAGGTTTGTTAAAGATTGTAATTTGAGAAATGTATGTCGTGTAGTCTATTCATGGATGAATGCTGCAGCCGGAAATTATTTGTAGGGAGAACCCTTTGGCTTGGGAGCCACCACAAAGTGTAAACTCAGAGACCCTTGGTGTTCTGCTTTGCTGATTCGTGAAAATTGTAAGAAAATCAGTTTAATCTCCCCATTGGTGGTGTCAAAAAGACTTTCGCCAGGAATACATCATGCAGAAGTTTATAATGCATTTTGTGTCAGCTTAAAACGTGGACAATTTTTGTTGTTGCTGATTGATTACCTTTGGTGACACAAGCGTTTAGCGCACTGCACTGTGACTATAGCGACCAGAGTTCTTATTCGTGGCCATGGCTAACATCAGTTGGCCATTCTGAACTGAGCTGCATTGTAGAATATGGTCCAAACAACCTATGTGACAAACATGGTGCGAGGAGGCTTCCATACAGCAGTGAATGATCTTGAGGAGTAACATAGTCAGTTGTTTTGCCTCACATTTTTTTATGGCATGATATGATTGAACCATCGCGTGGTAGTTAAACTGCAGTTAACATGTCTTAACATTTCGATTAAAGCTTCTTTCGTGACTGCAGGGATTCATCTTCCTGGTTCTTTCGGTTAAAGTCACGTAGAAGGGAAGTAATAAAATAATAAAAATAAAACATTTAAAGCTTTCGTGACTGCAGGGATTCATCTTCCTGGTTCTTTCGGTAACGTCACGTAGAATGGAAATAATAAAATAATAAAAAATAAAAACAATAAATATTTTTTAATTACTTCCATTCTACGGACTGTACCGAAAGAACCAAGAAGATAGTGTTAACACTTTAAAATAATGAACATCCCTTTGGCAATCCACTGCTGGATAAAGGCCTCCCCACACGGAGTTGGTCATTGGAGATCTTTGATCATATTTCACCACCGTAGTAAGCACAGGTTGGCGAGGTTACGGCGGTGGCGGTGTGGACGCATTTGTTTAGATATCGCTTTGCCAATTATGTAAGCCGAGGCCAAGAATTAAAACATGGCTCACTGGGTTCACAGTGCCGTGCACTAATCACGGCACCACCGCTCCATTATTATTAAATATATATATATGCTAAGGTTCTATTGACCTCTATGGAGTCTTTCATATGTTTGTTTCGTCTTACTAAACAGAGCTAGATGCCACTTAGCTTAACTAAAGGATCAACATTTGCCCAAGGTGGCAATTTACAAACTGTCTGGAATGGTCATGATTGCGATGAATATCGTCATCATCATGATGACCATAATGTTCAGCACAGAAAGGCAGATCTCGCAATGTAAGAGCACGATGAGAATAATGTGCGAACACTTTCTCAAACGGCAGCCTCTCTTCATCACCATGTGCCTTGTCAAACGTTGAGCGATGCTTTG